CGGGATGGGTGTGTCAGAGGCGGTGCGGTTGGCGCAGGATAGAGCAGGGTTTAGAGCTGTTGTGCATAGGGTTGCTAGGAGTCGGAAACAACTCGACGGCACATAACAACAACAACAGCTGTGGGAAGTGGCTAGTAATGTCTTACAGCTGCCCCCTCTCAGAAGAATTGACCTTGGCCAAAATAACTGCTTTAGCAGTTAGGAGGCCTAGAGTTCAGGAAGAGTCTGCCCCCTTCAAGTTGGAACAAATTTGTGGTGCTAATCCTCTTCTGGAACTTTCTGTGGGACCCAGCTGAGCCTGCACTTCCACTGGACTGCCTTCCTCCACAGTTCTCTTGTTTCTCTCACATTTCTTTTGAGCTCACTGCCCTCACCCCCCAACAATCACTTGGAGAAGACTTTTTGACTTGGACTCTGGAGGGAATCCAGCCTGAAGTGTCTACGTGGCAGGCACAATTCTACGATCCCTGGGCTTATGGAAATGTTACTTTAGTAAAGAGATTTTGGAGAAGACAGTCATGTCATGATGTGAGGCTGGAGATATGAAAAGCAGAGATAATATGATCTGTGAAGAAAGGAGAGCAGTAGGGAAGGTGAATGAGGTATAGGTGTTGGGACCTGACCCCCTTCCATAATGGGGTGAGTTGGCACTTCTGTCACTTGCCTGAATGGGACCTGAATATAACACAAAATTAGGAACTGTTGCTTCTGTTAGATGTCGTTGAGTTGACAACTCACAGTAACCTTCTGAAAAAGAGATTCCAACCTGGCCTTATCCTGTGCCATTCTCATAATTTCTGATACACTTGAGCCCATTGTTAGTATGTCAAACCATCTTGTTGAGGGTCTTCCTCTCTTATGATGACTTTCTAGGCATAATGTCTCTTTCCCAAGATTAATCCCTGTTAAACAATATGCCCAAAATATGTGAAACAAAGTTTCACGATCCTTGCCTCTTAGGGAGAGCCCTGGTTACACTTACTCCAAGCCTTACTTGTTTATTCTTTCAGCATTCAGTCCTTTGCTCCAACCCAAAGGCATCCTGTCATTCTCAGTCATTATCTGACATTCAGATGCATAGTGAGTGATTGAAAAGATAAGCTTGGGTTAGGTAAAATCTTTACACTGACATCCTTGCTTGCTAGGACTTTGGAGAGCTCCTTGACCGCATATAGTTCCAATACAACATGTCTTTTGCTTTCTTGACTGCTGATAACAAGGGTGTTGATTGTGTATCCAAGCAAGATGAAATCATTGCAACATCAACCTTTTCTACATCTATCATGAAGTTGTCTACTGGCCCCAAAGTGAGAATTGTTATCTTCTTGAGGTTGACATGTAATCCGTATTGAAGACTGTAGTCTTTGATTTCCCAAAGCAAAGTCCTCTTTGCTTTCAGCAAGCAAGATTGTGTAGCTGCATAGTACAAGTTGTTGAGTCTTTCTCCAGTCCTGATGCCACATTCTTCATAAAGCCCAGTTTTTAAAATTATCTTTTCAACATACAGATTGATTAAATATCTATAAAGGACCCAGCCCTGATGTACATCTTTCCTGATTTTTAAACTATGTAGTTTTTCCTTGCTCTGTTCAGAAAACCGCTTCTTGGAATGGTTTTGCATTAATACAATCAAGTGTTCTGCGATTCCAATTCTTTATGTTAGCTTGATTTACACAGTCAAATGCCTTTGCATTGTCAATAAAACACAAATAGACATCCCTCTGGTATTCTCTGCTTTAATACTAAATCCATCTGACACCAGTAGTGATATCTCTGGTGCCATCGCCTCTTCTAAATCTAGCTTGAATTTCTTGTAGTTATCTGTTGATGTACTGTTCTAACCAGATTTGGATAATCAAGATTTTGCTTATTTGTTATATTAATGATATTGTTAGATAATTTCCCATTTTTTTGACCACCATTTTTGGAAGTAGGAACAAACAAAGATCTCATCCCGTCAGTTGGCCAGGTAGTTGTCTTCGAAATTTCTGGCAGACTAATGAGCACATCCCGGGCTGCATTTGTTTGTTGAAACAGATACTTTTTGTTGAAACAAGTCAACTGGCATCCCATAAATTCCTGGGAGCTTATTTTTTTGCCAATGCCATCAGTGCAACTTCAAATTCATTTCCATTGGTTCTTGATCATATACTGTTCCCTGAAATGGTTCCATGTCAGTCAATTCTTTCTGGTACAGTGACTCTGTGTATTCCTTCCATATTCTTTTGATGTGTCCTGGATCACTCACATCTTTTAGTAGTGGGAGAGGAGAGCCACAGCATGTTTTGAGTTGCTCATATGGAGACAACTGAAGAAAAGTTTGCTTCATGACCTTGGATATAAGAAGAGTTTGGATTCAAGTATATGGAACGTGAGAGTCACTGGTGCTGTGGACTGTGTAGAGTGAGATTCCATGGGACAGGGTATAGAATCTGATTGGACCATGAAGTATCACACATTCAGACTAAGACTTGGAGGGCTTGTGCAATTGCTCCAGGTCCCACAGCCTCAGAACCCAGGGATGTGGCACACCTTTTGGAGGTTGCTTGGTCTGGGGGTGGTTTGGTCTGGCAGTTGTCTGTAACTTGGATCTGTCTTCTGGGGGCAATAGGCTAACATCCATTTCCTCCTTCTCAGCTCTCATCCCAGAAGAAACCCCAGAGAAGAGTTTTCTCCTTGAGGGGGATATCATCCGGCCAGTGAGTGTGCATGTGCACATGTGTGCATATAATAACCCCCACTGCCCTGAATTCACTGCCATCAAGCCAATTCCAAGATTCCGGGTTCTAAAACTAGAAATTGCTTGTCATTTCTGCAGAGTGGTTGGTGGATTCTAAGTGCACACCTTAAGTTGGCAGGCCAACACATGGTGTCCTGTGTTGTGAGTGTAATAGCCTCACAGACAGGACTTGTTTTTGACCTGTGAAGAGCTGAGGCTTGCTCATCATAGCTCGGTAGACACCTCATCTGTTTCTAAAAGCATGGCTGCTGGATTAGGAATAGCCCATGCTAAAGGGTGAAAGAGGTGCTATCTGGAGAGGCAGCTGTGGTCAGCCTGGGGAGACTTCCTGAAGGAGAAGCCATGACCCCTGGGAGTCCAGTGCCTGTCTAGGACTGTAATGAGGAAGAGGTGAACACAGTATGCAAAGAGTGGCTGATGTGGGACAGTGAAGGGGCTAGATGGCAGTAGTGACCCGGAGAAGAAATAATGAGAAACTCTGAGGCCATCTTGGCTGGGATGGAGGGCCAAGTCACAAAGAGGCTGGATGGGAATTGAGGTGACTTTATGGCATTCAGGAGAGCATGGCTGTCTTTTAGGCTGCTGGGGAGGATAACAGGTTCTGGGTCAGGAAAGTGACTGGAGGGAAGCCAGGCTATTCTACTAGTTTGGAGGCAGGAGCTCTGGTGAAGGTGCAGCATGAGGCAGACAGACCCAGGGTGGGCCCTCTGTTCAGTCATTGCAGGTAGGAAGTCCTGTGATGACCAGGAACAGAATAAAGTGAAGCTAGTTGGTGGGCTGAAGGGAAGCCATGATGGTACTGGTGTTTAAAAGGGGTTTTTGGAGGAAAAGCGGAGAAAGGAGCTACTGAGAGCAGAGCTGCTGTGTTAGCACTGCCTTAGAGGGAGCCTGTCACCATCATTTGCTTGCATGCTCAAGGTTACTTGGTGAGCTGCTGGTCTCTGAGGCAGGGGTGCTGGGCTGGGGCTGCTGCCTAGGGCCTGGAGCCCTTCTTAACTAAGGTGTCCTGAGTTCTGGGCTGTCTAGCCAACCTCTTGATGGGTTGGGGGTGGGTCAGTGTGTGTCCTCAGGGACCCTGACCACACTTCTCTCCCCAGAGTCCCTTCCGGCTATTCTCAGCTGCCAGTAATAAGTGGCCCAAGAGCAGCACTGGCCTTGTGGAGATTCCCTTCCTGCTCTCCAGCGAGTACAGTGAGTGGACGCGTCCCCGAGGCCAGCAGGCCCTCCTTCACTGCCTCAGGCCAGGATGCTCGTTACTCCCAGTATGACCATCACCAACTCTTTTCAGCATCACCGCCCCAGACAGCCCCAGAAGACCCTTAACAGAGAACTTTGACTCCAAGGGCTACGTGAGGGTTACAGTCTTGAAGGAACTGGTTGGGAAGATACATTTAAGGGCTACCTGGTCCATTGAGAGGCTGCAAAGCCAGGCTTTCTGTAGCCCAGTCTGCCTCTCCTCAGTGCCATTTTGCTGCCCTTTGATGTTCCATGTGGGGAGAGCTTTCTGGGCAGACGCCAGCAGGGACACGTGGGCGTTCAGTCAGGCTATCTCTTCCCCAGATGAACTCAGCCGGCAGGTCATCATAAAGGCATTTGCCGAGTTTGAGCGTCTCACGTGCATCAGGTTTGTCTCCTATGAGGGCCAGCGAGACTTCATTTCCATTGTCCCCATGTCTGGGTAAGTGTCCTCCCAACGCTCAATCCCTGTAGATCTATGAGCATACACATTGGGAGTGGCTTTCATGGCTGTTTTCTGGGCTCAGCCTGGAATGAACTAGGACAACGACTATAGGAGAAGGCCTGGTGGTGTTGTAAGTTAAGCGCTGGGCTGCTGTCTGAAAGGTTGGCAGTGTGAGCCTGTCAGCTGCTCCACGGGGGAAAGCCAAGGCACTTCGCCATCTCCTGTGGCATTGACCCCATGTACATGGAAGCCTGTCTGCACCTGCGTCATCCCACAATCTTGGTGGTGCTTCGCCCTGTGGTTCCAGTCATCAGGCCAGAACCGATGGGCAGTCTACCCTGGCCTGCGGGGTCACCATGAGCTGGATCGGCTTGTCTAGAAATCCACGTTAGGGCCTTTCCCCTGGGCCCTAAAGTCCCCTTGCCCACCCTGAGGGCTTGCCAAGTGTGAGATGACCCTGTAAATACTTAGGGTGGGAGGTGGAGGTGGGTTGGAATAAAGTGTGAACAAGGTCCTGGCTCACAGGCCTCACAAGGAGCTTCCTGGGTGGTGAGCTGAGTGGAGCATTTGTCAGACAGCTCGCTCTGTCCTTGCTCGGTGCTGATAACTTGTGATGGGGAGAGTGTCCCTAACTTCTTGAGCCTTTTTAGGGGTCCCTAACAGGGACCTGAGGTAATGGGTATATAAGCCTTGACATGGGTTCCACATGTGGACATGCTCATGCAATGAGCTGCTTCCAATCTTTGTGTTAATCCAACACCCAGCCTAGTGGTAAAAAACCACACTGCAATTCCAAAGGCACGTGGTTTGAATCCATCAGCTTGCTCCATGGGAGAAAGGTGCAATTTATTGCCTCTGAAAACCCGCTGGAAGGTCAGCTATGTGTTCTGACTCGGTGGTACATAACAACCTTCTGCAGCTCAGGCTGGTCATGGGCTCCATTATACCCATTTCTGAGAAGGCCAAGTGGTGAAGGAACTAAAGAGGGGATGGTGAACCTGGGGCTAGGGCCTAGTGTGGGGACTCTTCTCCTAACACTTGAGTGGTGGACCTGCTCTAACTCTTCAGGGCTAACAAACCCTCTGGGCCTTACAGGTGCTTCTCTAATGTGGGACGCAGTGGGGGGATGCAGATGGTATCCCTGGCACCCTCCTGTCTCCAGAAGGGCCCAGGCATCGTGCTCCATGAGCTTATGCATGTGCTAGGCTTCTGGCACGAGCATGCCCGAGCTGACCGGGACCGCTACATCCGTGTCAACTGGAATGAGATCCTGCCGGGTAAGCCAGGCTGTGCTCAGGTTAGGCTGGGTCTGGGGGGTCTCGAGGGGGAGAAGGCAGCTCCTTAAAAGAGGTTGACCATCCTTCCACCATCTGCCTGACCCCTACCTTTTTGGGGGTAGGACAGTGGTTCACCTGTTGCTCTGGGCTCTGTGCTTTCATGTCCACTATTGAGACCAGACTTGGGGCAGGATCATTCACTTTGTTTCTCCTTCCTTCTCATTGGCTCTGCCTGTTCCTAGTGTGGGGCTGGTTTCTTAGGCATCAGATGGGAGTAAGGGCTGTGCTCTCGCTGGGGGAGGTTTGGGGCTTTGGGTGACCTGTGCTAGGTTCCAGGTGAAGGGAGCTGAGGGTAATGCTGCAGGGCATGAGTGTAGATGAGCCCAGAAGGATACAGGGTATGGGGGGCCACCTTGGTCAAGAGGAAACAGAGGCTAGGCTGTAGAGCTGGGGGGCTGAGAGGTGGCTTTGTGCCCTGAAAGTGGAGAACTTTCAAATGCTTGTTGGATACTTGTAAACATTTGTATGTGATCACTCATTACCATGCAGGGAGAACTGATTCATAGTTGACCTCTATGCCTTTGCAGACTATAAATCACATGAGAGGAGATGGCCCATCTTTCTTCCTCAGTACTGGTAGATTCAAACCACTCATCTTTGGATTGGAGGAAAATGCCCTACCAACTAGGCAGGGTGAGGTTAATGCAGACAAACCCTGGGTTAGAAAGGTCTAGAGTGCAGAATTATGCTGATTTGTCCACACTCTGAACCAACTGATTCAATCTCTATGGGCAACAAACTGTTGATCGCCTTCGCTTGTTGCACATGCAGCATTTAAGTCCATAAAATGTCAAGGTTTTTCTTGGACTCAGACCAGCCCATGCAAACCCACTGCTGTCAGGTCTATTCTGACCAGTGACCCTCCCCTGGCTTTCCAAGGCTGGAGGCTGTCACCTTCCTTCCACAGAATCGCTGAACGGTTCCTTATGCTAACTGTTTCCACAGCAGCTCTTTGATATGTTGACATTTTCCTACCAGGACTCTGGTCTTCTTCCACTAACTGAAGGCTCAATAAGAACAGTAAGAACTGTTCTGACTTATCTACAAATTTTTAAAGTCAGACTTCCTTTGTGACCTGGTTGGCTGCTTGTATAAACCTAATGATCATGCTGAAGTAAGAGCAGAAATTAATAATGACTCAAGAACTAAGACATTTTCCACTTGGAAATACTAAATAAACCAAGACAAATTTTTGTTTTAGCTCACTGGTTAAAGAAGAAATCCAAATGGAAATAAATAGAATTCTCCTTTAGAAACCATGAAAATATTATGTTATCTGAACATACAGTTCACAACTCAAGCAGTGCTCAGGGAAAATGTGTGTAGACTCTGATTCACTTGCTCTGTTTTTCATTAAGTATTTCAATCCAAGCTAGGAGAAAATTAATGAAAAGGAAGCAAAAGGGAATTAATGAGTTAGAAACCAGCACTAATAAATTAAAGAGCTATTTCATATAAAAATATTTTAAATATCAGCTACCCTAATTGGAAAAGATACCTTGTTTAAGAATGGAGGACAGTGAAAATATATTTGCATTTGGTTAATGTGCAGTTATAGCCAGAACACACTTTGTACAATATATATACTAATCCTCACCCTGGGCAGCAATGCTGCTTTGGTTAGTGTTAAGGGAGCTGGTGATGTGGGGGGGTGGGGGGGAAGTAGTGTGGCCATTACTAGGCCTGGAGGTGGGGTGTTGGGTTAGGAGCTCTTAAAGCTTCAGCATGGAGTAGACATTTTGGAAAGGGGGGGGGTTAGATCTAAGCCACTTCGAGTGGTGTGTGATTTCTTTGAAGGTTAAACATTATGCAAAGATTAGTTTCCTACATGGTGAATTTGAGGAATTCACATTCCATACCCGACATCCCCCACCATTCACCTCACCTCTGGCTTCTCACACTTTGCAGTGTTCTTTTTCCAGGCTATGAAATGAACTTCCTGAAAGCTCGGAGCAGTAACATGCTGGTGCCCTACGACTACTCATCAGTGATGCATTATGGGAGGTCAGCGCCTACCCCCTTCCTTGCCTGTTATCTTCTGCATTGTTCTCTGGCCCCTGCTGGGACATGGACTTGAGCCTCTGCTTTCTGGGTTCCAGGCTTGCCTTCAGTCGGCGTGGGATGCCCACCATCCTGCCGCTCTGGGACCCCAGTGTCCACATTGGCCAGCGATCGAATCTGAGCACCTTGGATATCACACGAGTCCTCAGGTTTTATAACTGCAGATCAAGTGATCATAGCGCTCCTGGTAGAGGTGAGTGACATGGGGTAACATGGGACAAAGGTGGTTTAAGGAACCTGGAGAAGGTTTAAAGGTTTAAATTGACAGAATGAATGAGTACATTCACACAATGGTGTACTGTGCAGCAGTGAAAAATGAGTGAACAATAGTTACACACAACAGAGATGGCTCTCAGAAGCACAATGTCGAGTGAAAAACCCAAATCACAGACTGCATTGGTATACTACTACTATAAAGCTCAAAACCAGTAAGAAGCAACCTACATTATTGAAGAATTAAAAAAAAATAGAAGCAAAGGAATGATAGAAAATTCAATGCTATGATTACCTTGAGGGGAGGCAAGAGAAAGGATATAATATGGGCAGCTTTCAGTAATAATGTTATATTTCTCAAAATGGAATACTGGGATTGTTCATCCTCTCCATATTATAGATAATGATTACACATGAGTCCTAGATGGAGTAATCAAATGTTCAATTGCTAGTTAAAAGGTTGTTGGTTAAAACCCATTAATTAGGCCTGGTGATTCTTCTAAAAGAGCAGCTCTGAAAATGCCTTGGAGCAGCGTTGCTGTGCACACAGTTGCCACTGGTCAGAGCTGATTTGATAGCAAAGAACATACACAGGATATAATTCACACAGCATACAACTAACTTGTATAAAGGAGACAGTTTAGTGACCTTTGATGTTAGCAAAACTGTGCATATGAATGGTGTTTTTTTTTCTTTTTTCTTCACACTTCCTCCCAAAAGAAACCTTATTGCTACTCCAGGTCACTTCAGTTTTCTTCTCTCTTTTTTCCTCTAGGCCCATTTTAAACACTTACGCAAATAGAAAGATAATATGTGGTCCTTTTGTGCCTGACTTAATTCACTTAGTAGATTATTTAAAGGTTCATTTAAGCTGTAGCATGAATCTGTAAATGATTCTTTTTTATGGCAGAATAATTGCATTTTATAAATATACTACATTTTATTTTCAATTCATCAATTTACAGACATCTGGGCTGTTTATATTTTTCACTTCTGAGTAATGATGCTATGGACATCTATAAGTCTGTGTGGACATATTTTAGTCTCTTGGGTATATGTACTTAGGAGTAGAATTATTGGATCATATTGTAACTTTAAGGAGCCTTGGTGTAGTGTGTAATGGGTTAGGTTATGAACAAAAAAAAAGTCAGCAGTTCAAATCCACCTCATGTGCTGAGGAAAAACATGACAATCTCCATACATAAAAATTTACAGTCTTGGAAACCCATTGGAGGATCCTGATGAATCAGAATGGACTTGATGGCAATGGGTTTGTGTTTTGGGTGTGTTATACATTACTTAAGACACTGCCATGCTGTTTTCCAAAGTGGGTGCGTTATCTCATTCCCATCAGCAATGGATGAAGGTCACAGTTTCTCCACTCCCTGTGAACACTTGCTATTTATCTGTCCTTCTGCTACTAACCATATTAGTGGGGTAAGACGGGATAACATTGTTATTTTTAAATTTTTTTTTTTTTTTTAGTGTGCGTGTACCGTCAAATCAGGTCTGACTGGTACAGGAGGATATTGCGCCTCCTTCTCCGGCAGAGCGTCTGGTGGATTCGAACCGTGTTCCTCTGGGATTGCAGTCCAGCTTCTTGCCACTAGGCCACCAGAACTCCCCTTATTTTTAAAATTTTTATTATTTTTTTTTTGTGTGTGTACTGTCAAATCGGATCTGACTGGTACAGGAGATCTGCCCCTCCTTCTGCAGCAAAGCATCTGGTGGATTCAAACCGGCTATCTCTGGGATTACAGAGCAGCTTCTTGCCACTAGACTACCAGAGCTCCCTGGGATAACATTGTTTTGATGTAGTCCCGATGACTAATGATGTTGAGCATCTTGCATGCTCACTAGTTCTTTGCAGAAAGTCTGTTCAAACCTTTTGCCCATTTTAACAATTGTGGTGGTATGTGCCGTTGAGTCACTTGCGACTCATAGTGACCCAATGTACAACAGCCCTAAACCCTGCTCTATCCTGTGCCAATCTCACTGCCTCTGACACCCATCCTGATTACCCCAGTCACTGAATCAATCCACCTCATAGAGGATCTTCCCCTTCTGTGCTGTCCCTCCACCCTCCCAAGCATGATGTTCCTCTCCAATGACCTCTCCCTCCTTACAACATGTCCAAAGTATGTCAGACAAAGCCTCAGAATCCTTGCCTCCAAGGAGCAGCCTGGTTTAATCCTCTCAATTAGGTTGTCTTTTTATTGAGTTGTAGGAGTTCATGCATTCTAGATACCAGTCTTGTATCAGATAGATGGTTTGTAAATATTTTCTCCTGTTCTGTGGGTTGCCTCTTTATTTTCTTGGTGGTGTCCGTTGAACACAAGGAGTGTCATATTGTTTGTTGTTGTTGTTATGTGCCGTCGAGTT